TTGCTTTACCGTAGAAACATATTTCTACTTGTGTTTTAGCCTTTCTTTTAACTAACTTGGCTAAAACAAGGCTCCTTCACTCCTAATACCACCCCACCCCCACACTTCCCTCCCTTTCCTTGCAAGAAGTGTGCAAGAGAGCCTTTGGCATTTTTATAGAAGCCAACACAAGCATTCGTGCATAAATGGTCGGGCATATTTCGCAAAAATTGACGAAGGTTTCATTACGAGTACCTAAGTATGTATGTGTGTGTGTATGAGCAAAATGATGTACCCTGTTATACCATCCATGACAATGTTTGGTATTTAATAAAGCAACAACAAAAAAAGGCGTTAGGTTTCAATATGTTGGGAGAGAAAAGTGAAGGCAACAACAACAATAACAACAAAATAAAGACAATTTTATTGTTTTTGTTGTTGTATGTATGTTGCCAAGTAATAGTAAAGTTGTAAGGTGTTTTTTTGCTAAACTAAAGCCCTGCAGCGTAGGATATTTTTTTCCTGTTTGTTTGCTGGCAATAGCTTAGGTGAGGGAAATAAATATATGGGCGAAGTGGGTTTGAGGGGCGGAGGAGGAGTGGGGTGGGCTAAGGTGTCCATTTTGATACTCAGCCAGGGTGTCATTATTAATTTAACCTATTTTGTCTTGTTCTTCTTCTTCTTGGCATATATAATGGTGAAGGCACAAAATTTATTAAATGAAATTTAATATTGTCGACAAAATTAAAATGAAACGTGGCTGGCAGGACAAAAGGGAAGAGAGGGGAGGGAAAGGTGGAGGAGGAGGGGAAAATAATGATTCACAAGGAAATAAATTTAAGGGAAATATATTTAAATTTTAGGCAATATTTTATAAATACAAGAAAAAATTACAATAAAATAAAATCAAAACTTTAAATAATAAAAATCTTTAAATAAAAAATTTTGCTGAATTAAATTTTTCCTCAGCTGAATAGCAAAATTCATGAAATTGCAATAAAAATTATATTTTCATAAATTTTAGCTGCTAAATACTGATTTTTGCAAAATTTGGCAAAATTAAAATTTGCTGAATTGCATTTTTCATAGCTGAATATAAATTTAAACCTGATAAATTGATTTTTTGTAACTGAACAATAATTATTATGCCTTAAAAAGTCCATTTCTCAAATAAAAACTTTGCTGAATTAGGTTTTCACTAGCTGAATAACATCAAAATGTTTATTTTATGAAAATTCCAACTGTTTTTAATGATTTTTGTAGAAATTTTAACATTTGGCTAATGATATACTTTGCTGAATTGAATTTATTTATTTTTTGTAACTGAATAACAATTTTTATGCTCATTAATATAATATTTTAAAATAAAAACCTTGCTGAATTAGGTTTCCGCTAGCTGTATTACATCAAAATATATATTTTATGAAAATCGTATAGCTTTATTATATTTTTTTGTAAAATTTACAAAACTTGGCTAATTTTATACTTTGCTGAATTGCAGTTTTCATAGCTGAATAGCATTTAGCACTTCTTAAATTGATTTTTTGTAGCTGAATAACAATTTTTTTGCTCATATTTTAAAATAGAAATCTTGCTGAATTTGGTTCCCGCTTAGCTGCATAACATCAAAATGTATATTTTATAAAAACCCAATAGGTTAATAATGATTTTTGTATAATTCACAAAATTTGGCTACTTCTATATATTGCTGAATTGCATTTTTCATTGCTGAATAACACTTATGGCTAGGGGAATCGTTTTATTCTTAGCTGAATAACAATAGCAGTTATAACTTTATGATATTTTTGCGGAATTTTCAGCATTTAGCCAACATGATTTGTTATTTTTTAGCTGAATAGCATATATCGCTTGCTAAATTAATGTTTTCATGGCTGAATATACATTTCAGTGTGTGTAAATATATAATATTCTAATAAAACCTTGCTGAATTATGTTTTCTTTATGTAAACAACATTAAAATTGATTGTTTACTAAAAATCCATAGCTGAATAACAATTTAGTGATACATATACGAAATTTTGTTAATTTAAGCGCTTGCTGAATTACGTATTTCAATGCCGAATATCAATTATCCTTTGCTGAATTGATTTTTCCTTAGCTAAATAGAGGTTTTATGTAATTTCAGTGTAAGTGAAATTGTTTATCTATCATTTTGCTGAAAAATTTGTCAGCTGAATTAAGTTTTTCGTAGCTGAATTGATGTATTTTGTACATTTTTTCTATCTTTGTAATATTTCCCATGTTTACAAATCATTCCGCGAATATTTTTCTCGGCTGAATTGGGGTTTTCTTAGCTGAATTAACATTTTATTGACATTCCAACCTTTATTCTTTCCCGAAGAAATTCTATTCCATATTATGTAAATTCTACTTTGCTGAATTCCATTTCAATTTGGCTGAATAGAGAAAATTTACCATTAAATTGCTTTCGTTACGCTGCTTTCATCATATTTGCTTACTCCTTTGTGTTTTTGCTTTGATTTATGTTCACATACTCGTACTTACACACAATCAACTAATTTCAATAAAATTTTGTTTTTTTTTTTGGATATGTCAATTGTTTTCTTTTGTACCAAAAAAATCTGACATTATTCCAATAACACTTTGACATTTTAATGAATTAATGAAATAAAGCATAAAGAAAAGAGAGAAAAAAAGTGACAAGAAGACAACGCCAACAAGACATTGATGAAGTCTACAATTTAATCTGCTCTTTTTTTGGAGGGTCGACTTGATATGTTGTGTATAAAAAAGTCTAAGGCTGTCTACCCAGGCCTCACTCTCTTTCTCCCTCTCCTTGTTGACAGCCATAGGGAAGTAGCGAATCTTGACATACACACACACTCGCATTCTTACTTTGCCTGCCTGTCTGCTATGTTTTAGAAAAACGTCAGGCTAGACATCGAGTGAAAACAACAAAAAGAAAAAACTTTGCTATTTTGACAGCTGTCAGTTTATGACATTGCAATGTTGTTTTACATATTTTTTGTTTGTTTGGCTTGATTGAGTTCAGTTCCTAGGCAAACATTTTTTAAAGTGTTTCAATATTCAGCACTCAAGATTTTTTTGCATGGAACTTCAAGGTATGACCCCATTTGAATTGGTGTTCAACATAAATTCCAATTATCCGTTGGATTTGTAAACCACCATCAGATCTTGGCATGTTCAATGTGATTGTTGAGACTTTAATTGCAGACCTTAAGACTGTTGGTGAAACAGCATGGGGTTTGACATTAACAAAGAGCTTCTGTAACGGCATGGGGTCAGGGAATCAAAAATTAACGAGAACTAGTAGAAGAGGAACAACAACAACAACAAGATTACAAGAGTGATGATGTTTTTCTTTCCTAAAATATAGAAAAAATATAAAAATGAAATTTGAAAAAAATTTCATTTTTTATTTAAAAAATAATTTTTTCGCTCAGCGGAATACAATTTTTTAAATTTTTATAGAATTTCAAATATCTTTTCATAATTCGCAAAGAAAAAAACTGTGCTGAATTAAATTTCTTGCAGCTGAATAACTGATTTTAGGCAATTTTTTTATCAAATTTAGATTTTTTTCTTATGAATAACTAAGAAAAAACTTTGCTGAATTGTATTTCCCGTAGCTGAATAGCCGGTTTTTATGGATATTCTTAATCTTTGGAATGTCTTTTTATATGTTTTAGCGAAAACCCCTTAGCTGAATAAAAATTTTAAAAAAATGTAAAAAAGAGACTTTTGTAGATATTCTTAAAATTTAGATGCTCGTTATGAAAGTTTCGGTGAAAAATGTTAGCTGTTAGAATTTTCAAAGATGAATAACCGATTTTTAACGATATTCTGAAATTTTGGAATGTCTTTATGAACATTTTATTGAAAAATCTTAGCTGAATTAGAATTTTCGTAGCTGAATAGCCGATTTTTATGGATATACCTCAATTTGTAGTTGTATTTATGAAAATTTCTAGCTGAATTAGAATTTCCTTAGCTGAATAACAGTTTTTTATGCAAATTCTAAAAGTTTGATATGTCTTTATAAATTTCGAAAATCCCTTGCTGAAAAATTTCTGAATAGCCGATTTTTAAATTAGAATTTTTGTAGTTTTCTGAAAATTTCGTTGAAAAATCTTAGCTGATTTTTTCGTGCTGATATCGGTTTTTATTCAAAAATTTGGTATGTGTTTATAAAAATTTCCTAAATTAGAATTTATGTAGCTGAATAACCGATTTTTATGGATATTATTCAAATTTGGTATGTGTTCATAAAAATTTCCAAACAATTATTGGATGAATTACAATTTTCTTAGCTGAATTTTTATGCATATACCTCAAATTTCGTTGAAAAATCTTAGCTGAATTAGAATTTCCATAGTTGAATAACCGATTTTTATGCATATACCTCAAATTTTGGATGTATTCATGAACATTTCGTTGAAAAATCTTAGCTGAATTAGGTTTTTCGTAGCTGAATAACCAATTTTTGTGAAAACTCTTAACTCTTTTTTATGAGTATTATGTTTAAAAATTTTTGCTGAATTGTGGTTCCCATACCTATTCAAAAAAAAAATTAATACAATTTTATAATATTTACCATGTCTTAGAAATTCATGAGAAAAAACTTAGCTGAATTGTGGTTTCCATAGCTATACAATAAAATTTGATGCATTTTCATATTATTTGCCAAGTCTTCTTCGAAATTGTGGAGAAAAAGTTTAGCTGAATTACACTCTACACTACAATTCAACAACTTTTTTTCCTCAATTTTTTTATTTTTCAATTTTTTTTTTAACCGTAAAATTTTTTATTTTATATTTTTTTTTTATTTTAAAATTTTATTAATTTTCCCATCAATTTTTTTTATATCTTTCCAGATCTCCTGCTAAGCAGCCATACACTGCCTTTGTGTAACTGAACTATATTTTTTTTGCTACGACGAAAAAAACAATATCAAAAAAACGCAACAATAAAAAAACCCATTGAAATGGCAAAAACAACAACAACAAATAACACATTACAACGACAACAACGACTCACCTTAATTTCTGCTGCTAACACATCATCTACCACTACCACCAACAACAACTACACAACCACCTGCAAAATGTTCTCCCGCCAGTGCCTTTCCTATCAGCTTTTAACCCTCATCAGTGTAGTCGTGTATCAGGCTACGCATGCGCATGCCTTTGACATAGGTAAGTGGCAAAAAACAAACAATCTCCTATTAAATTTAGGGGGAGAGAGGGAGTTGTGAAAAGAGAGAGATATGGGGACTCCCTGGGGCCTCTGCTGCAAATGGCTATAGATTTGTTTGCCATTAAATATGATCGCCATTTGTAGTGTCATTAAGGCTCTAACAAAGCCTTAAGGAAGCTAGTGCCAAATGTAGACCCCCCTTACCCCTCTCTGTACCTCTCCTCTCTCTCTCCACCTCAACAATTTTACAAACATCCAACTGTGTTCGTTATGGATTTGTATGGTGTTGCATCTTCCCAGTAAGAAATTCAAACAACGGGGGTTTCCTTCTTCCAAACCTCAGCCAGAGAATTGACTATCAGTTTCGTATTCCAATACTCCAATCCGTTTCTTATGACTTTTTAATGGCCTCTTACACGGTTGGCGGCAGCGTGTTTTGGTCTTTTGCTATTTTCCTGCCGCTTGCTGTTATGTTTCTTTGTATTACATTTAGCTCCCCATATGATTTGGTGGCCACATGTAACAAGTTCGGTTCGGTGTTTTGTTGTGGTAACAATTTCAAAGTCTTTCTTTTGTTACCGGTTGCTTCGAATATATTTTTTCACATTTAACTATTGACATTTTAATGGGGTGATGTTTCTTTTTCTTACTCAAAAAAAGTCAAGATGTTAGGGAGCATACCCGCAAGAAGAAGAAGAAGCAACAACTAGCAACAACATCCCAGCAGTTGTAGACATAAAGGATATTTTTTTTAGAAAGTTAAATAGTGATTTATGATTTTAAACGAAGAAAAAATAAAATAGTTCGTGAAAAACCTTTGCTGAATTAAGGTTCCCATAGCTGAATAAACAATTCAAAGGTAGTTTTGGAATATTTGGGAAGTCTTCTTTGAAATGGTGGAAAAAAATCTTAGCTGAATTATAGTTCCCATAGCTGAATTGGTGATTTTTATGGAAATTTATAATATTTGGGATGTCTTCTTTGAACTTGTGAAGAAAAAACTTTGCTGAATTGTAGTTCCCATAGCTGAATAAACAATTTTTTGATAATTTTAGAAAATTTGGAACGCTTTGTTTGAGATTGCGAAGAATAAACTTAGCTGAATTGCAGATCACGTAGCTGAATAGCAGATTTTTAAGTAATTTAATACAAATTTGGGATTTTTTTTGAATTATTAAGTTTCATCTTGAATTGAGTTTTTGGCAGCTGAATATTTTTGTTTAAAGCTGAATTGTAGTCAAACTTGCTGAATAGTATTTCCGTTAACTATAAAAGAAATATTTTATAGTTTGCGTTCATTTTGCCAAGAAAAATGTTTGCTAAATTGAGTTTTTGGCAGCTGAATTGTAATTTTTTAAAGCTGAATTTGTTTTAGAGTAGTTTAATAGCATTTACATCTACTTTAAAAGTTAAATGTTGTAGTTTCCTTTAATTTTGTCGAGCAAAAATGTTGCTGAATTGAGATGTTTGCAGCTGAATTGCAGTTTTTTAAAGCTGAATTTGTTTTAGAGCAGTTTAACATCATTTACATCTACTTTAAAAGATAAATGCTGTAGTTTATTTTACTCTTGTCAAGCAAAAATGTTGCTGAAGTGAAATTTTGCAGCTGAATTGCAGTTTTTCAAAGCTGAATTTGTTTTAGAGTAGTTTAATAGCATTTACATTCACTTTAAAAGTTAAATGTTGTAGATTATTTTAATTTTGTCGAGCAAAAATGTTGCTGAATTTAGATCTTTGCAGCTGAATTGCAGTTTTTCAAAGCTGAATTGGTTTAAAAGTAGCTGAATAGTATTCTCCACTATTTTAGAGGTACAATATTGTAGTTTTCTTCAGTTTTGTCGAGCAAAAATATTACTGAATTGAGTTTTTTACAGCTGAATTGCAGTTTTTCAAAGCTGAATTGGTTTTAAAGTAGCTGAATAGTATTTCCCTTTATTTTAGAAGTAAACTTTTGTAGTTTTTGAAATTTTGTCGATCAAAAATGTTGCTGAATTGATTTTTTGTTAGCTGAATTTTTTTTAAAGTAGCTGAATAGTATTTCCCTTTATTTTAGAAGTAAACTTTTGTGGTTTCTTTAAATTTTGTCGAGATAAAATGTTGCTGAATTGCATTTTCTTACAGCTGAATTCGATTTAAAGTAGCTGAATGGCATTTTCAATCATTTTGGAAGCAAAATTTTGTAGTTTGCTTTTATTTTGCGGAGAAAAAATTGCTGAATTGAGTTGAATAACATTTTTTCTCTGCTGAATTCGATTTAAAGTAGCTGAATATCATAATGATATGCTTTGCAACAAGAATTAGACCATTTACTTGCATAAAAAATGTAGCTGAATTGCATTTTTCGCAGCTGAATTACATTTTTCCTCAGCTGAATTCGATTTAAAGTAGCTGAATAGCATTTCCATGCTGTAGATTGTGTAAAATTTGGTGTTACCTCTTAATTTAAGTTCATAAGTTACATTCCTGCTACTTCCAAAGCTCTGTATGTTGCACTAAGGACTTCTTCTAAAGGGGCATATCAACTTTAATCAACATTTTAATGTTCGAAATGAAACCTTAATATGTGAATGGTAAATTTGGAAGGGTGGATGGGCATAGCAGTGATTTTATTTATAGCTAGGCAGGGTATCCAGAAATTAAATGGGGAGAATAAAATGAGTTACTCCACACAAAAAGGCTATCCCGAGTTGTGTTACTTTTTTTAGAGAATGAGGAAAAGGACTCTATTGGGCACGGAAGAGTAAAGCAGTCAAAGCTAGCCAATGATTCCCTTAAAACTTACAACACACACATACATACTCATGGTTAAATATATATTTAAAGATTTTCATTTCCAATTGAATGACTTCCAAAGCAGAGAAACATCCTTTACAGTGGTGTGTCACCGTACATGGGGACAGCACAAAGGATTTTGCTATACAAATCATCAGAGAACAAAGAGCTCAGTTGAAAAAAAATCGTTCAGCTCCCTTTCATTGATACATAAGTGGCATACACAAAGGCATGATGTGATGCGTTGTGATGTGATGTTTAGTTAAAGATGAACAGATCCATGTCGAGGGTAAAGAGTGTCTGTCGTTTAAATCACAACACACACACACATACATTCACATATACCATAACAAAGTAATAAAGTGTTCATATGAACAGAAAAAAGCCAGTTAGTAGTTACTTTATGACGAAGACATAGCTCAAAAGTCAATTGGCATGCGGATGAAAGGAAGAAAAAAAGAAACAGAATGGAAGGCTGTTGAAGATTCCTTACCAGTTCTGAGAGCGGGAACATAATTTAACTAAGGGTTTTTGTGAAGGAAAGAGAACTGGGCTACAGTAAATAAACCATGCCATCAAACAGCCAATCATCCAAGTTGAAGGTATCGTTTAGTATTTAAATTAGCATTTCAATTCAGTTCATGGTTGATCCCCTCCCCTCATCTTTGTATGTCCTGATAGACAGATGCTGTAAACAATTGTCAGTCAGTGATTTTTATCTGTATGTGTTTGTACGCCTTGTTATTTAATTGATGGCATAATCATGGACGACATTTAAAAGGCATGCCAAAGAGATGGCATTTGATACAATGATATGTGATTTTGAATTATAATAACAATAAATTGTAAAGATTTAAATATATATACAACAGAGGGGTTTCAGGGGACTATTTGACATCTTTAAAACTAATTCAGCAAAGAAGATGTTCAATTCAGCAAAATTTTTATAATTGTTTGTAAGATTTTATGCAAAAAATTACACAAAATGCTATTCAGCAACATTAAATCATATTCAGCTGAGAAAAAAAATAATTCAGCTAGCAAAAAACTAAATTCAGCAAATTTTTGTTTCTCAATTTGGTAAAATAATCAGTCCAATTTTCGTCATAATCTGTATAAAGATGCTATATAGCTTCTTTAAATCTAATTCAGCTATGAAAAATGCCATTCAGCTGCAAAAAAACTCAATTCAGCAAAGTTTTTTTTCATAATTGTATGCCAAAAATCTCCCCAACCTTAATTATAATCAACATAAAAATGTGGTATAGCTACTCTAAATCAAATTCAGCTAAGAAAAAATATAATTCAGCTGCAACAAACTCAATTCAGCAAAAAGAAGGCAATTTTTGTAATGTTTGTCATACAAATGCTCTCTAGCTTCATTAAATTGAATTCAGCTAAGAAAATGTGTAATTCAGCTTTGAAAAACTAAATTCAGCACAGTTTTTTGCCAGAAAATTTTAAAAAACTGCTTAATTTGTGCACTGTTGTGTACGCAGATGCTATTCAGCTGCTTTAAATTGTATTCCGCTAAGAAAATCTGTAATTAAGCTGTGAAAAAGTTAATTCAGCAAAGTTTTTTGCACGAAAATATAAGAAAACTGACTAATTTTTGCACTGTTGTGTAGCAGATGCTATTCTGCTACATGGAATCGCAGTTTGTTTAGAAAATGTGTAATTCAGCTATGAAAAGTCTAAATTCACTGCTTAATTTGTGCATTGTTCTGTATTCAGATGCTATTCAGCTGCTTTAAACTGTATTCAGCAGAGAAAATTTTTGTAATTCACCTATGAAAAAGTGCCTTATTTGTGCACTGTTGTGTAATCCAAGTGTAATCCAACTACTTAAAATCAAATTTAGCTAGACAAAAGTCAATTCAGCAAAATTTTTACTCATCTTTATATTAGGAAACAACTTATGTTTTCACAAAAACTCCATGGAAATATTATTCAGTTACATCAAATTAAATTCAGCTTTGAAAAAAATCTAATTCAGCTAACAAAAACTAAATTCAGCAAATATTTGTCATAATTAGATATGGGAAATTAGTGTAATTATGTAAAAAAAATATATGCAAATGTTTTTCAGCTGCTTTAAATTGAATTTTGCTAAGAAAATGTGTAATTCAGCAATGAGAAACTTAATTCAGCAAAGTTTTTTTCGGAAAAAAATTAAGAAAATTTACTAATTTTTGCGATTTTGTGTACAAACATGTAATTCAGCTACTTTAAATGAAATTCAGCTAAGTAAAAAGTCAATTCAGCAAAGTTTTTTTTGCAAAAAATATTTTTTTTTAATTTTCTAACAGTTTAAATTAAATAATGAGTGCCATTATTACCTTTATCTACATCTTAAAACCCTCTGCCCTTATTAACTTACAGGAAAAATTCTTTCAAATACTTGTTATTGTTAGGCAACACACAAATTTATGGAATCTCATTATTTTTGCTCGATCATGTTCAAAATGTAATAAATTTCAAATTTCCAGCCAAAGGTATGCTTGACTAAATAGATGAAATGGTATCGATAAAATAAATAAAGAAAAATACATGGTGATACACTTATACGATATTATTGTAAGAGATTTATATTGCAAGAGATCTCTCTTTGATACATATAAATATAATACTCAACGACAACAACAACAACAGCAATGGCAACAACAATGGCAATGACAATAAACATAATAATAAATGACATGAAATTTCATGCAAAAGTAAATTGACGATTGACTAGACTAAACTGAGAGATGTGTGATGGAGATGATGTTGTAGTGGTGATGGTGTTGTTGTTGTTGGTGTTTAACCATCATGTGTGTCTAAACCAATATCTGTTACGATATACTCATTTATTAAAAGAGAACCCAAGATTAAATCATTTCGATAAAAACTTTATGCAAATTTTCAACCTCAAGAAGAGGAAGACAAATGAAGAAGAAGAAGAAGAGGAAAAAAAGTAAATGGAATCAAATCCACAACGACCAAGGAGAAAAAAATCACAATTTTAATCTCCATCTAAAACCTAAAGTGGTTCAACAGATGTGACTGACTGTGGAGGACCTTAGGTGGATAGATGGTTGAATGAATGAATGGCTGGATGTTTGGTTGGCTGCTTGGTTGATTTGTTCGAAGTTCCAACCTCATTGTGTTTAACAAATTATGCACAGATATCCTTGCATTGTAAGCAATAAATACAATTTCACATTCCTCTACAACTTTACGTCTCTCGGCATTGTTGTTGTCTGTTCCGTACCGAACACAGTAGTTAAACGTCAAATGATAGTAGTCATTCATTCAGCCATCCATTCTATTTCTGGCTTCTTCTTCGTCGGCTGCTGCTAAAGCTAAGGAACATATGAGCCCTATACGAATGGAAGTTCAGTTCAACTCCATTGGTATTTTTCTCGTCAAGTTTATCATCATCTGCTCTTAAGTTAGTTAGCTTGGGTCTAGAGTAGAACGAAAAAAAAAGAAAAAATCTGGGAACTCCCCAATAACTGCTAGAATGGCATTAACCAAACAGAACACAAAATTTTCCATGTGAATGCACAACAACAATGCAAGTTGGCAAACAAAAAAAGTCTACGAGAAGACAAAGTCGTAAAGGGCTAAGGCATACAACATGTATGGTGTTTGGATTGTAAGTTGCAGACATAGCCACACTAGTTGTAGACATTAGGCAAAGGGTAACAAATTTTCCACAAGCTTTGTCGATGGCAATGTGTCGCTTTCTGTTTGCTAAATGAATGGAAAACATGAATGTTTTTGAATAAAGATTTTTTGGGATTGAAATTTGATAGAAAGAAAATGGGAATTTAAAAAAATATTTTTTTAAATTCGAAATTTTAAAAAAACATATATTTTCCTCAAAAAAAAAAAAAAAAAAAATAAATAAATAAATAAAAATAAACACAATCAGTAAGGAAAGCAGTAAAGTCGGACGGGGCCGACTATATGATACCCTTCACCACTTTTGGTATATTCTACATATGTATCCTAAAAGACGTCGATTTTTCGAAATCTGGACCGATTTTCAGGAAACTTAACACACATCATTCTAAACCTAATTCATTACGCTGTGCCAAATTTCGTGCAAATCGGTAGATATATAGGGACTTTGGTGTACCATTTACATTAAATCGGACGAAAATATATATGGGAGCTATATCTAAATCTGATCCGATTTTCAGGAAACATAACACACATCATTCTAGACTTAATTGAGTGCGCTGTGCCAAATTTCATGCAAATCGAAAGATATATAGAGCCATTTGTACACCATTTACCTTAAATCGGACGAAAATATATATGGGAGCTATATACAAATCTGAACCGATTTTCAGAAAACTTAGCACACATATTTCTAGACCTAATTCATTTCGCTGTGCCAAATTTCGTGGAAATCGATAGATATATAGGGACTTTGGTACACAAATTTACTTTAAATCGGACGAAAATATATATGGGAGCTATATCTTAATCTGAACCGATTTTCACGAAACATAACACACATCATTCTAGACCTTATTCAATACGCTATGCCAAATTTCGTGCAAATCGAAAAATATATAGAGACTTTGGTACACCATTTACCTTAAATCGGTCGAAAATATATATGGGAGCTATATCTAAATTTGGACCGATTTTCAGGAAACTTAACACACATCATTCTAGACCTAATTCATTTCGCTGTGCCAAATTTCGTGCAAATCGATAGATATATAGGCACTTTGCTACACCATTTACCTTAAATCGGACGAAAATATATATGGGAGCTATATACAAATCTGAACCGATTTTCAGAAAACTTAACACACATATTTCTAGACCTAATTCATTATTCTATGCCAAATTTTGTGCAAATCGAAAGATATATAGAGCCATTTGTACACCATTTACATTAAATCGGGCGTAAATATATATAGGAGCTATATCATAATCTGAACCGATTTTCACGAGACTCAACACACATCATTCTAGACCTTATTCAATACGCTATGCTAAATTTCGTGCAAATCGAAAGATATATGGGGACTTTGGTGCATCATTTACCTTAAATCGGACGAAAATATATATGGGAGCTATATCTAAATTTGGACCGAGTTTCACGAAACTTAGCACACATTATTCTAGACCTTATTCAATACGCTATGCTAAATTTCGTGCAAATCGAAAGATATATAGGGACTTTGGTGCACCATCGAACGAAAATATATATGGGAGCTATATCGAAATCTGAACCGATTTTCACGAAACTTACCACACATCTTTTTAGAGCAAATTCATTACGCTATGCCAAATTTCGTGCAAATCGAAAGATATATAGGGACTTTGGTAAACCATTTACATTAATCGGACAAACATATATATATATATGAGTTATATCTAAATCTGAACCGATTTTTCCCCAATTTGAATAGGATTCGTCATTTGGCCAAATATGTGACCTATGCCAAATTTCATCCAATTCGGATTATAAATGCGACCTGTACTTTGTTTGCAATTTAACATGGACAGATAGACGGACATGTATAAATCAACTCAGAAAGCTATTCTAAGCATATCCTCAAATGGAACCATGTGTCTATCTCGTTTCCTTTTGCCTGTTGCAAACATATGCACAAAGACATATAGGGTACCACAGTGTGGTGAAGGGTATAAAAAGCGACGTCTGGTAGGATACATATGTAGTATATACCCAAAGTGGTGAAGGGTATCATATAGTCGGCTCCGTCCGACTTTACTACTTTCCTTACTGGTTGTGGTATTGAAATTTGATAGGAAAAAATGGGAATTTAAAAAAAAAACATAGTCTTATAAAAATTATGTTTTTAAAAATTTGAAATTTTCCAAAAAAAAAGAACGAATTCAAAAATATTCGATATTGCTTTCCAAAAAAAAAATTGGAAATATATATTTTTTTTAATGAAAATTCCAAAAGGCTGTATTTCACCATGGAACCTCATCCTGACTCATTCTCGCTACATCCGCATACATTTATTGAAATACATTGATTTTGATTTTGGAATTTTAAAAGGTGTTTCCTTATAAATTATCTTAAAAAGATCGCGTGGACATATTTTCCGAAGAAAAAAAAAATTGCGGATTGCATGTTGAAAACATATGTATAAATAATTAAAAAAATATATAAATAAAAAATACAAACCATAATCATGCAACCATAAATATGTAGCCGGAAGCAAAAAATGCCCTCTCATCTTTCAATTTCCAATGAAAACGCCTATAAGTTAAGGGACAGTCATTGCACTTCGACAACATGCAACATGTGTCATCTTCAAAAAAATCAAAAAAAAAAAAAAAAAAATTATAAAAATAAAATAAAAAAAATATATAATAATAAATAATGATGTAAAAAAAATCCAAAAAAAAAACAAAAATTCAAAAATTCCAAAAAAAAAAAATTTAAATTATCAAAAAAAAAAAAAATCCAATAAATAAATTGTTGTGGTCAGATTGAAAAATCTCCAATCCGAAAATCACTTCTAAAGACAAGTGCTTAGCGTGTCATTTAAATGATTTAAAAATTTTAAAAAATTAAATCTTTCCTCTCTATACATATATCATAAATGCTTCAGTTAATTTGATAAATTTGACATGGAAAATGTTATAGTTTATATTTTCTTCAAACATAAACAATTTATAACAAAAACAACAACCAGAAAAGAAACATATATTTAAAACAATTTCCCCCCTCTCAAAATCTCTACATATGTTGTACGGGTGAAAATTTATGTTTATATCTTCTTCCACTCCCCCCGAAAAAATATGTATGTGTGTTTGTGTCTCATTTGAAAACAAAGACAATTTCGAAAATTTCCACATTTTTTTGTTGGTTGCTGTGTAGTATTTTTTAATGTAAATTTTTTCCTTTATTAATTGTCGTGTTCTTTGGTTGGGGGCTAGAGACATTTTTATGTCTTTTCTATTTTCTTGAATTCCGAATTAATTAGTAATAGTAGTTCTTTTGTTTAATTATTTTTTTATTTTTTGTTTTTTTTCTAATTTATGGTATTTTGATTTTTAAATAATGTTTTTGTATTTTTTTTCTTCTCCATTTACAGCCACATGTAATATGCCCCTGGGCATGGAATCCGGTGCAATCACAGATGCTCAAATTACAGCGAGTTCAGCCCATGATACGGGCTTCGTTGGACCACAACATGCGAGGTGAGTTTTTGAGAAATTAAATATTGGGAAAAATATTTTCATAACGGGAATTATTAAAATTATGTTTGAAAGATCATGCTCAGAGATGTTGTCTTCTACGTGGTCTTTCTGATTCGTGGCCTTCGCCTTCTACGGGAACCATCAGTAGGCTCGCTTTTATATACCTTTTGAGCTCGAGGCATTCTCATTCATTCGCACAATATGGCCTAGCCATCGTAGTCGCTGCAGCTCAATACGACTGACTATGTCCGCGTATAAATTGGTTCATTCGACGCCGATATTCACCGTCGACACAGATCGACCCGTTGATCTTTCGGAGAATTTTTTTTTTCAAACACCCCATATGACAGCACGGCTAGTATCAGCGTCTTGTAAATTGTGAGTTTGGTCTGGCGGGAGGTGTCCTTATTTCTAAACTGCCTACTTAGAACACAGTAGCATCGGTTGGCCATCACTATCCTTCTCCGAATTTCAAACCGGATGTCATTTGTTTTATTTATGGCGGTACCAAGGTATGTAAACTACCTTGAAGCTGTAGTTCTCATGTTCCACAGTTGGTCCGAGTCTACCGGACGTCTTGTCTAGCCATCATAGTCGCTGCAGCTCAATACGACAGACTATATAAATTGTAAAGCTCGTGGTTCATTCGACGCCGATATTCACCATCAACGCAGATCGACCCATAGATCTTTCGGAGAATTTTTCTCACCAACACTACAAGAGCTGCCTCATCTGCTTGCGAAAGTGACCATGCTTCAGATCCATATAACATCATGGGCAGTATCAGTGTCTTGTAGAGTGTGAGTTTGGTCTGGCGGGAGGTGGCTTTGCTTTTGAGTTGCTTGCTCAGATCAAGCATATGCGCTTGCGCCATAGAATCACTTTCCGCCCGTCCGTCCGTCTGTCTGACCATGTTAAATTGTAAACAAAGTACAGGTCTCATTTATGATCCGAATTGGATGAAATTTTGCATAGGTCACTTATTAGGACCAAGGACGAACCCTATTGAAATTGGTAAAAATCGACTCGGAGTTAGATATAGCTCCCATATATATTTTCGTCCGATTTAATGTAAATGTTCCCTATACATATTTCGATTTGCACGAAATTTGACACAGCGTAATGAATTAGGTCTATAATGATGTGTGTCAAGTTTCCTGAAAATCGGTTCAGATTTGGATATAGCTCCCATATATATTTTCATCCGATTTAAGGTAGACCCTATATATCATTCCATTTGCACGAATTTTGGTATTCGTCCGATTTAATGTAAATGGTGCACCAAAGTCCCTATATATCTTTCGATTTGCAAATGACATGCTTATGGATCCATTATCATATTAATGGTCTTCTAAAATTCGTCATCTGTTAGGATTCAACTATTGAATATAGCCAAATTGGTGTAGGGTATCGTAGGCCCCGTTCGACTTTACTACTTTCCTTACTGTTTTATTTTTGTTTTTTTTTTTTTTTTTTTTTTTTTGTAAATCCCTTTTTCTTCATCCCATCTTCCTAATGATCTTAATGACAACCTAAGTATATGCTTACATGTTATCCCATTCATTAGCATAAGTGTTCTTTTCGTTGCCATAGATTACATTAACAAAAACATCTCCCCTGCCCCTCGAAGTCTCCCAACTTAAAGCCATTGGTAACAAATCTATCTTCACTGTAGCCACTTAGTTTAATTTAAATCACTATGATTATGTCAAACAAGAGTAAACATCATAAATTTAACAGAAAAACGTGATCCAGAGTCATTTATTTATTTTCGTTCGTCAGGTCTTCCTTCTTTCGTAGACAACCAACGGATGGTTGGCTGAAGCAACCATTCGAACCGCACACCATCGAAACCAACTCAACAACACAACTCCGTCAGTCAGTCAGTCAATCCCATATAAACATTCAATTAAATTAAGATAAATACCCTATCGACGCCATTCAAATGGTTACCATGAACAACAACAACCCAACAACGACCAACAACAAATAGAAACCGACCATTGGACATTTCCATGCCAGATGAGTATTAACGAAATGGTTGAATAGAGGAAAGGCAAAGCAAAGTCGTCAATGAAAATTAAAACACAGACCCAGAAGAAAAAATCCGCTGCATACAAATAACAAAATCAAAACGTTCCAAGGAGCCACAGATGCCATGGCCACAACAGAGAAATGGAAACTCTTCATGGAGTTGAACATTAAAAAAAAAAAATAGAAAAAAGAAACTAAATCTAAAAACTACTTTGCTGAAGAAGGTAAAAAACGGCGGCTTCTTTTCTCAACTTTGATTAGATAGTTGTTGGTCCGGTTCGGTTCGGTTCGGCCATGGCTAGGCCATTTGGAAATTTTCTTCGGTGGCTCTAAATGGAGCCTGGGTCTTGCCACTGACTATTCTAAATGCTAACAGCAAATTATATATTAAACTTGCAACATTTTCTCCTCTCTCTCATCTCCTCTCCCCCCTTGCCTACAATCAACCAACCCATTCAAACAACAAGTAGAATGGCAATGGTCTAGAGATTGTTAACTTTGTCCATAACAATAATTAAAGTCAAAATGTAATGGGTCTCTATAAACTACAATGGGAGGATATTAGCATTTTAAATGGTTTTTTTTTTTTGTATTGGCAATGGAGCTCTTAGAGAGATAAACCAACAGAGAAGCCGGAAATTATCAGTGTCATAAAAATCAATTTTCAAGGAAAAAAAAGGTTCTAATATCATAGGCGGAATCATTGTGAAAATTTAAGAAATAGTTTATGCTGATTAAATTCATCGGCCTTGGTGGAACAAGCTGAAAGCGAATATTGGCAGGTGGGCAACATGAAAATTGGAAAAATTAAAAAAAAAACAATATTTTCTTCAAATATTCGGGATGGTATGACAAAATTAAAAAAAAAAACAAGTAAGGAAAGTAGTAAAGTCGGACTGGGCCTACTATATGATAACCTTCATCACTTTGGGTATATTCTACATATGTATTCTAACAAACGTCGCGTTTTTTTGCGTTAGTCTCTGGAAACTTGCTAGAGACTAATTTATATTACTTCGTTGTACGTTGTATCAATCGGCCTAGCACGAAGCTTAGCAACATCATTCTATACCAAAATTCGTGCAAATCGAATGATATATAGGGACTTTGGTACCCCATTTACCTTCAATCGGACGAAAATATATATGGGATCTAAATCCAAATCTGAATCGATTTTCACGAAACTTAGCACACATCATTCTAGACCTCATTCAGTAGGCTATACCAAATTTCGTGCAAATCGAAAGATATATAGGGACTTTGGTGCACCATTAACCATAAATCGGACGAACATTTATATGGGAGCTATATCTAAATCTGAACCGATTTTCTCGAAACTTGGCACACATTATTCTAAACCTAATTTAGTACTCTGTGCCAAATTTCGTGAAAATCGAAAGATATGTAGGAACTTTGGTGCCCCATTTACCTTAAATCGGACGAAAATATATATGGGAGCTATATATAAATCTGAACCGATTTTCTCGAAATTTGGCACACATCATTCTGGATCTAATTCAGTACGTTTCAGTCCTTTTGCCTGTTACAAACATATGCACAAAGACATACTACCCTGTACCACAGAGTGGTGAAGGATATAGAAACCAGTGAGCGGAGCAGTACACAACTGCTACAGAATTCTAACTTTTTGCGGATTTTTATTCCGAGCCTGTGCAATATTTCGTGATAGTTGCACCCTCTTGCCCGATTAGTGTCAACTGCACCTCTTCCTTACACGGACATATTTTCCGAATATTACTAATATTCAGTACAGTCCTTCTAATTACTTGTCCATATTCCCTTCAGCTTGGGCTTATAATTGTGGCCTATAGATCGAATCGAAAATATTGTCCGATCTTTATCAAAACCGGCATGTTTAGTCTTTGGCCCGATCCCCTTCTCCATGTAAAATTTCGCGATGTTTGGGCCATAATTGTGGCATATGGAGCTTTGGGTCTGCACAAAGCTATTATACCCTGACAACATAGTTGTGTAGGGTATAAATAATCTACGCCTTGTGTAGATGTCTGAAAAAATTATTCCCTCTCAATATTTACTCTCAGTGTTAACCTCCCTCCCTCTCCATTTGTGATTAATGATCTAAATCAAAGATTTTTCAATTTTCCATCGTCGTTTTATTTGTTTTTCTTCTTCTTTGCTTACCGAAAAAAATAATGTCTTATCATTTCCTTAAATCTTAAATCAAAATTTCCATTCGAAAATATATATTCCCAAGATTCCTTAGTCTATCCTGCTTGCTATAATTTTTTTATTGTTCACGCTCTTCATTAATATTAATTTTGTTCAGATCAAATAGAATAGAGGCCAAATAGACATCAAATGAGGGAATTAAATGTTCTACTGTCCCTAAGTAAATAAAACATATAAATTACTGCAAGTCAGGGAGGGTGGGGGTTGGGGTGAACGTAAATTTTATATTTACACAATTTTTCAAACATTGACCAAGTGAGGTAACCCTTGGTAATTATTATTATTTTTTGTTCAACATAATATGGGCATTTGGTAAATAAGCAAAATACCCGCATCACATTTTCGATGGACACACCAATGCAACAGCATTTCCTGGGCTGTGAATTGGAAGGGGAGAAAATACGAAAAGAAAAAAATTTACCCAATTTTTTGTTTGTTGAAATATTTACAGGCCAGCAAAAATCTCTGTTTTGTTATATTTACTATTTATTTAAATTAGAAAAGATGCTGGAGTTTGTGTGTGACTCTCTCTGTAGCCGGTCATTTCCTGTGGCGTGTAATAAAAAAAATATTTTAAATTGTCACACAATGACCAAGCAAGCATGGTATACAGTGGGACTTCCTAAACTATAATATTTCAGAGTTTTGTTTTTTATGCCTTTTTAGGGCGATATTTCAAAAATAAATAAATAAAAGTATATTTAAAAAATATTTAAGAAATGAAAACAAAAATCAAGTCTTGGGGGATTTTTTTT